GACAATCCAAGGGTTAAGAGCTCCAGGAGTCACCACAAATTGAAATGTAACAAGGCCCTTCAGTGCGGTTCATGTCATCTAAAGATGTTTTAGTACTTGGTGAGAACAAGGATGAGTATGCTGTAAATATGAAGTTGTTCTGATCCATGTATGAAGAGGCCCAGGAACTCTTAATACCTTGCACTGGGCTTAGAGCAGCGGTAGGCAAAATACAGCCCACAGGCTGGATCTGGCTGACCAGCCCATTCTAGCTGACCTGCAGGGCCCTTAACAATTTTAGAAAATTAATATTTATCTGCTCCTGGCTGCCTGTCAAAGATGACAAGAGCCAGGGGCAGTAGGACCCAGGAGGAGCCGTCAGCAGGATGCAGCAACCCAGCCCTGCCACACCCCCAGCCATTTACCTGTCTTCCTGCCCCTGCACTGCTCCAGCACCATGTGGCTCCTGGCTACATCACCGGACCATGGGAGCATGGGGCCCATGACCCCAGGGGTTGGGGGGAGGGTGTAGGGAGGGACTCTGTGTGTGTGTGTGTGTGTTTGTAGGGTAAGTCCCAAATATACACCCCACCATGCACATACACCCACATCCCCCCCCCACCACACGGCCATACACGTAGACTCCCACACCCCCTCACACACCCCAGCCACCCTCCCCCCCACGCACAGAGGCCCCCACAAACCCTATACCCACACACACCCACATGCTTCCTCACCCCACACCCCCTGCACCTATCCACCCCCCACAGACACACCTACATCCTCCCCCACACCCCACATACACACAGCCCTTCACAAACCTATACCCCCCCCACAATACACAAAAGTAAGACTTCATTTTAAGCTATTATATACAATCACTTCTATGTACACTACACAAACATATGTAAACCAGGACAAAAATATTTTTTTGAAATCAAATTAATGAATGTTTTAGATGTTTGCTTTTTAGAATATAATTTGGTATTTTTCTGGTTCTGAGATGGCAAACCCCCTTGCTGAAAGGAGTACTTCTGGCGGCAAGGGAAGGGACATCTGGTGGCAAAGGTCAGGGGTTAGGGGGCAGGACTTCGTCACAAGGTGGCAACCAGGGGGCAGGGCACTTGTCAAAGGGGCATGGCTACCCATGCATCCCTTGACAGGTTGCCAAAACTCAGTAGGTGGCCCTCTGCCCAAAAGAATTGCCCGCTCCTGCTGTAAGGGCTTACAGTTTAAAAAATATAGTTAACTGATATTCTCAAAACTACCTATGTATATACAGTACTTAAGCTTGGTAGTACTAATGAAATGACTTATCTTTATTACTTGGAATAAAATTGATTTTAGTATACCTTTTTGTTCAAGAGGTGGTGAAAACTTGCATCCCTTGGCTGAAAAGAGCTGTCAGGCAATATTAGCATCAAACAATTCAGTAGGAATACATGACAATCAATATACTTGCATGCAGGAACATGCTTTTCAGAAGAAGGCTATCAAGGGGCATTGTCAAGCTCAAAATGCATCTTAGTTCCTTTTTTTTTAATTGATTACGCTTCAAGTTTGTGCTTCCCAGCCAGTATTGAACTCAGATTAGTTGTACCTAGTCAAATTTGCTGCGCCACCTCTAATACAAAAACACTGAGAAACAAACAACTCAAGAGGAAGGAAGTTGTTTGTAGTATAAATTTTCATACAAGAAAACCTCTTAATCCAGAATGATGCACAAGAATGCAGCTTTTTGGTACATCATCCTAATTTTGGAGGTTTTCACTCTGCAAAAAGACAATTATAGTTGATGTGTGCATGTTGCTTGTTTTGACCAGGATTATAAGTATGGGTCTAAAGGAGAAACAAAGTTGGTTCTGTAGTGAAAACCCTAGAAATAACCAAGTTTGGAGAGAATACTTGGGTTGAAATTTCTGTCTTGGTTTGTATTTCTGTTACTGATAAAGCCAAACCACAGGGAGGAAGGAAGTTTGGACTGTGTGCAAGGTATCCGCACAGTGGAAACTTCAGCTGCTTACAGAAATATTACCTCTACTTGCCAAACTTACACCAACCATGAGACTGGTGGAACATATTGCTATTTGCTACTTATGTTTTAAATATTAATTAGGGCTATACGGTATTTGCTATAAAAATATGGCACAGGGGTATTGTTAAGACTTTTTTTCCTACATGGTTGTATCAGATATGTTATACTTTTTCAGATGATATTATGGTGTTTGTATTGGGTGTACTTTGAGGATTAAGGCCCTACAACTTTTAAGGTAGAGTGAAGGAATCCATGAGTGAAATATTAGGTCCATTTGAAATGAATACTAAATTCTTACTGATTTAAGCAGGATTAGGATTTTACTACAGGTATCTTATTTCAGGAATACAAATAATCTCTCTCTGTCTAGGTCCAGAAAATAACCAGCTTAGCTCTCTGTTGCCTTGAGATATTATTCAAGTCTCCAGAGACTTGGTTTCCTTTTCATTGTTGAGTGCAATTCATGCTATTGGTGTAAATTATATAAAACTCAGAAAGATCACAGATATAGTCATGGTAAAGCTGCACCATCAAATATGGAGTCAGCTTCTTGGTTGGTCATTTCCAGAATTTAGCCAGTGATAGTCTCCTCTTCCTGTTACCCTTGTACCTTGGTACTTGCTATACTTTTGTCAGCCAGTCAGAGCATAGTTCCTTGCTATCATTTCTGGCAGCAGTATTCTTCATTTTTATTAGTGCTATTCACTGTCAGTAGGTAAATATAATTTGTGGTGATAAATTCTATTTAAAAAATTTTCCTAGTTGTCATGGCAATAAAAGCTGTATAATACATATTTTCAATGTTGTTATCAGTTTGATGACACTTAACTTTTTTCCCCTCCTTTGTTTTCATTTTTTACTTAGAATACTTTTCTATAAAATAAAAATGTTTCTCAGTATTAAATGTCTTTCTCCACTTCCATGAAAGAACATGGTATGTTCTTGTATTGGTGGCTTGCATAGTTTTCAACATGTTGGCAGTAGTTCAGGTTTCTTTTTCTGTTGTTGTTGAAAGAACAGTTTTCAGGGAAACTATTCTGAACATGCAAAGGGAGTGGAAACTAGAAATTGATAATGTCATGGCTCATTGCAACTGTGTGTGTGTGTGTGTGTGTGTGTGTGTGTGTGTTGTCTAAGAAATTTTCAGGATGTATGCCCGAGTATTCTTCAATATGCAGTACTGGTGTTTGTTTTGAAAAAAGAAACGGAGTATGGACTGTCTGAATCTCTATGAAAAACTTTGTTTGAAAATACTACAGGGAGGTTTATATAATCTGTTAGACATTACCTGTTCTTTGTAATGCAGGATTATAGCTGGACAGACATCCGATGTCCCTTTGAAAAGCGCAGAGATGCAGCTTGTGTCTTCTGGGACAACGTAGTTTATATTCTGGGTGGTTCCCAGCTCTTCCCTATAAAGCGAATGGACTGCTACAATGTGGTGAAGGATAGCTGGTATTCCAAACTAGGACCTCCAACACCTCGAGATAGCCTTGCAGCTTGTGCTGCTGAGGGCAAAATTTATACATCTGGTGGTTCAGAAGTGGGTAAGACATGATCTTTAAAAAACAAACTGAGAATACATGTAAAGCTTCCTGATTTGTATGACTTGTTGAAAAGAAACTACAAGTGTTTCTGTAATGCATGTCTGTAATGGTCCTTTGCTTGTGCCAAAACAGGACACATTCTTTTTGAGACCCTGAGAATATTCTTTTTTTCTTTTCTATTGCATGTCTGAATGCATTTTCAGTGGAACTATTGTATTAACAATATCTGCACTTTATTCAGCTCACAAAGAAAATACCAGAGTAAATTAGCTACAAACAAATAAATATGACAGCTCCAATCCTGCTCTCAGTTTACTGGTGTAAATGCAGAGAACTCGTTGACCTTTTGTTACTTATGAATGTGGACCAGCATCATCTTTATCAGCACCAATGCAACAGCAGGAAAGGTGTATGCACACCAGGAGTCAAGATATGAATTCCATTAACAGTCTGGCTATAATGGCCCTAACCATTAGGAAAAGATTGGTTTATATCCATTCTTGTTGGTAGTGAAACCTTCCTTAACTACTCTTGTAAGGAAGGATCCCTGTTAAGGGAGTAATTTTTGAAATAAGTTACTTGCTGGTTCTACTTTCATTTTGTTTTCTTCATTTAATGAAGAGGCTTCCTTTTTCCTTCAGAAACAGTGCAAGAGCTAAAGGATCACTTTGCATTCTGTCAAAACATCTAATACCATGACAGTAGTATTGGTAGTAGGACACTTAAGTTTTGCCCTGCTGCAAACTTAGTAGCAAGGCAAAACTAAAAGTGAGCAGAAGATAAACAAGATTCATCATCAGGGGCTAACACAGGCATAAAATACAGTAAAAGCAGTGTTATCTGGCACTTTATTAGCTGGCATGCTCTATTAACCAGCATGCTGATCAACACAATAAGAGTGAAACCGGAAGTCCCCCTGCGGCACTTCCGGTTTCACCAAGTCCCACTTCGCCAACTTTGTACCACTGCCCAGGGCAAAGCAGCCTGTGTGAGGCCCCCCTCCCTGTCCCCTGGCACACTAACGCCAGGTAGTTGAAACCTAGTGCACCGGACGTGGCGGGAGGAGCAGCAGCCCAAACAGGCAAAGACACCTCTCAGGTAACCAGCATATTTGATTAACCAGCACTCCCCATTCCCCATGAATGCCAGATAACACAGCTTTTACTGTACTTTAATTGGTCTTGACATGGCTGTTAACAGTACATACCTGCCATCTAGTGTTATAGATATGAAGTAACTGCTTTTCCCTTGTTCTAAGATATGAAAACTACTTTATTGAAATGTTTCTAAAAACTAGAGGTTACTTGGAAATAAAGGTCTGAGACCTATGCTCTCTAAATGACAGCCAGTAAAGTAGTATGATTTTTGTTTTGTCTGTATAATTCTTTTATATCCAACATCTAGTGTAGTTATTACATCTGTAATGCATACTACTCTTAAGATTTGCCCTTTTCAGTTATTTACACTGCATAGTACCCCCTTTCACCTAAAATTTTCAAGATGGAATAGCAAATGAAGATTCAATTAAAATGTTTGTATTAATTTTATGGAAGTATTTTAAAATCTGACAAATGCCATCCAACTGTCCAACAGAACATTTCTATTCTAACTCTACCAAACTGCAAACATGAGGAAAAATAAATAACGTTTGCCTGATTAAACTGTATTTTAATATAAACAGTTTTCCAGTCTTCCCACAATTATCTAGCTGTAGAAGAGACTAAAATCTCAGATTTGCAAGACTTCATTTATTATGTGTTGTTGCAGTGGCTGTCACTGTTTGTTTAATAAAAATATGTATACTGATTTAATTGAGGGAAGGTACAGTTCTCACAGATCTGTTGTTTCAGTTTGGGTAACGTGATCTCTTTCTGCTCTCCCATGTTGTCTTGGGAGTACTATTTTAGCTTTACCTTGAAAATCTTAACTACTGCAAATAATAGAATTCTCTTTCCATATTTAGAAATAGGAAGCATTGCACTGGTAACATTCACTCATTTTAGAAGCTCTTCTGTTAAAAAAAAACCTGTAATACACAATCCCTATTGATAATTTGAACAACAACTAATACTAATGGTGTACTTGAACACCTGTAAGTTCCCTTCTTTGTGTGCAGTTCCTCTTTCTGATTGTTTAGTAGAGATGACAGGAAATTCTGAATAGAACCAAGCATGACCATTGTACAAAAACAAAAGGGTGCTTCATAGAAGTCTACTCACTGGACTATCAGATTGAAAGCTTGGGCCTAAAGGAATCTCATGAGGTTCAACAAGGACAAGTGTCAAGTCCTGCACTGAGGACGGAACAATCCCATGCACCAGTACAGATTGGTGACTGACTGGCTGGGCAGCAGCTCTGCAGAAAAGGACCTGGGGGTTACAGTGGACAATAAGCTGAATATGAACCAGCAGGATGCCCTTGTTGCCAAGAAGGCTAACAGCATACTGGGCTGCATTGGTAGGAGTGTTGCCAGCAGGTTAAAGGAAGTGGTTATTTCCCTCTATTCAGCACTGGTGAGGCCACATCTGGGGTGTTGTGTTCAGTTTTCAGTCCCCCACTACAGAAAGGATGTGGACAAATTGGAGAGTCCAGCAGAGGCAACAAAAATGGTGATGGGGCTGGGCCACATGACTTTTGAGGGAAAAAGGAGGGAACTGGGCTTATTTAGTCTAGAGAAGAGGAGACTGAGAGGGGACTTAATAGTAGCCTTCAACTACCTGAATAGGAGTTCAAAAGAATATGGAGCTAGACTGTTACTGGTGGTAGATGACAGAACAAGGAGCACTGGTGTTAAGTTGCAACAGGGGAAATTTATGTTAGATATTAGGAAGAATTTTCTCACTAGGACAGTAGTAAAACACTGGAACAGGTTACCCAGGGAGGTGGTGGAAGCTCCATCCTTGGAGGTTTTCAAGACCCGGCTAGACAACACTTTGGCTGGGATGATCTAGTTGGGGATGGCCCTGCCTTTAGCTGGGGGTTGGACTAGAAGGGACCTCCTGAGATTCCTTCCAGCCCTAAGTTTCTATGATGCTATCAGACCTGAACATTCAGTCTTCACCATGTAGGTTTTGAGGACTATTTGTGTCGCATTCTAGGTCCTAAAGACCGAGAGTGTGTGAGGAGAGACACCTTACATTAAAGCAGATGATGACACCTTAGGCAATGAGGGGGAAAATGACCCTGACGCACTCTAGAACAAGGGTGGGCAATTATGTGGACCAGAGAGCCACTTAAGGAGTTTTGGTAAGCTGTCACAGGCTGGGTCAGCACACCCTCCCCACTACAACAGCTCTCAAAAACTCCCTAAGTGGCTCTGCCCTGCACTTGGCCAGGTGGATGGGATGGAGCCGTGGGTGGGTGGGTGTGGAGCAGTATCCAGGAGTGGGAGGGGCAGCCAAGGCCAGGATCACAAGGCAGTAACAGCAGAGGACCAGGGCCCAGGGCAGAGTCACGATCCACTACCTGTACATCCACATGATGTGTGCCATTTCTGTGGTCGGGGCATGTGGAGAGTAGATGGTGGCTCTGCCCCAGACCTCAGCCCCATGCTGTCATCACTCAGTGATCCCAGGGTCTACATGGAAACCAGCTGGGACCCATGTGTGTAGGGCATGTGACTGGGTGGATAGGATGGGGCTGCGGGTTGGCAGGCAGCGGCGTCCGGAAGTAGGACAGGCGGGGCTGAGGCCTGGGCTGAGATTGGGATCAGGGCAGAGCCATTATCCATTCCCTGCACGCTCCTGCCCACGGAACCAGCCCCTGTCTAAGGGATGTTTGGGCAGTGGATTGTGGCTCTGCCCTGGGCCCCGGCCCCATCTCGGTCTGCCCACCCCGGTCCTGGATGCTGCTCCCAGCCCGTCTGCCCAGCTGCATGCCCTGCCCCCACAGGTCCCAAGCTGGTCTCTGTGGAGACCCTGCCCACCTGCTACATCCAATGCCTCTGGCAGTGGGTGCAGGCAGATGGGCTGGAGTGCCCAAGCAGTGGGGCTAGGTCCAATGGCAGCAGTGGAGACTGGCTGTGGTAGCTGGAAGGAGCTGCCATTGCAAGTAGCTGCCACTGGAGGCTGTTGGGAAGTGCGTCTCACTGCTGCACTGCCCCCCAGGCCCAAGGGACCTGCCACAGGCTGGACAAAATCCTGTGTTGAGCTATATTTTGCCCACCCCTGCTGTAGAAAAAGCCTTTTGTCCAGTGTTCTTCAGTTCAGGCATACACCTAAGTATATCTTATTAAACTTCCTTTTACCTTCAGTAGAAAGATCCCCATTGATATCAGCAGGAATTGGATTGGTTTCTTTTAGGAAAAGAAGTAAGAAAAAATGTGGAAATATCTTTTCCGACGCATGGGAAAAAGTAGAACATCAAATAGTACTTTGCAGTTAAATGGTCAATAATAAAACAGTAATATGTTCCAACTTAATGTAGCCATATTATTTCAAAAAGAATGCATTGTAATAAATGTGATGGACTATCATATGGATTAATCAAGCCATATGTAGTAAGCCCATTTCTGTTTGTATGAATCTGTGCAAAAACAACTTACAAGTATTCATCTGTTTAATGAATATCTGTTTGGGATTATTTAATAAGAGACAGAGACTATCATTTTATTGTTAACTTCTGAACTTAATATTCCATGTCCCTGTTCAGTTCTTCCATGAGTCCTTCTCAATGAAGTATCCAGATGATTCTCACGAATTTCAAAACACAAATATTAAACATTAAATATATGTTGTACTTTGAAAGGTAGAAATTAAGAGTCAGGAAATCAGTCAGAAGTAGAATCTTTCAAAATTTTCCGCAGTTACAAATTGTACTGGAGGGAGATAAAAAGCATCTTTGCTTTTAAGTAAGGATTGAAACATCCTTCAATACTACTGTTTGTTTGCTGATTTGCTTTTAAAATAGAGCCATTAAAATAATCATCTTTTTTTTAAAGGAAATTCTGCTCTGTATTTATTTGAATGTTATGATACAAGAACAGAAAGCTGGCACACAAAGCCTAGCATGCTGACTCAACGTTGCAGTCATGGCATGGTGGAAGCAAATGGTCTCATTTATGTATGTGGAGGAAGCTTGGGAAACAATGTTTCTGGAAGGGTTCTTAATTCCTGTGAAGTTTATGATCCAGCCACCGAAACGTAAGTACCAACTGTTGATACCTTTGGTTACCAGCTGTTCTACTGGTTTAGTTAACTTTTCAGATAGTTAAGAATGTAGGAAGATGAGAAGAATTGGATGTGGTAACGAACTGGCTTGAGGAAGGGGCAGGAATACTAAATGAAAATGTAGGATGTTTAGGACTTGATTGAAAAGTCCTACTCTTCTAAATTGCACATTTTTTCCAGTCCCAAGAAATGGAAAAGAAATATAACCTAATAAATGAGTAAGAATGAATAAATAACTTTCTCTTTCTATTTCTCTCTCTCTGTCTCTCTCTTTCAGATGGACTGAACTATGCCCAATGATTGAAGCTAGGAAGAATCATGGGTTGGTGTTTGTGAAAGACAAAATATTTGCTGTGGGAGGACAAAATGGTTTAGGTATTTTGATTTTAATTAATTGTCCAGCTTATTTACAAAGTATTATTTCTGCTGACATCCTATACAATTGAACAGTTCTGAACAAAAGAATGGAAGATAGCAATATGCAGCCTGTCAACCAAAGTAGGGAATTGTTCTATTTAATAGCATGAATATGTTTAAAAAAAAAAAAAAAAAAAAAATTCAAAAAACAACCCCTCCCCTCCGCCTGACTAATTAGGCTGTTTCGTAACTTGAAAACCTGTTTGTGTGTATACTCGCATGTGTATATTTATGTATTTTAAATGCTTGCATCAAATTCTTAAAATGATAGTTAAATATTATTTTGAATGTATTATTGTTCAGCAGCACTGTAATAATATTTTGACCAGAAGCCATGTCATTCTTTTTTTTCATTCTCTGTAAAATTTGGTCTGGGGCAAAACTTAGGTAACTCATATTTAGTACTTTTTGTTTGGTTTGATAGAAATATGGTACCATTAATTCACACGTTTTCTAAAATCCATGAAGTCTTTATGAGGACACAAGGAAAAGCATTCCCCTCGTGTCAAAAAAACCTGGGGTTTTGAATGACCCTGAGTTATCGCAGGTCCTCAGTATTGTATCAGACAGTAATTGCCAGCTTTTATTGACAAAGTCATTCACTGCCCTGTCCCTCTCTCCCAAAAATGTTTTATTGGATTTTGATTCACAGGAGCAATGGTTCTTATCTGTTTGCCAGACATGTTTTTGTGCAGCTCCCCGATTTCCTGTCACCCTTTTTTTGGAGTCTCTTGAAGTCCAGCTGTTCACAAGTTATGATCTTGCTTAACTTGAGAGTTGGCAGAGATCACATCAGAGAGAGCCCTTGGTTGATAAAAGTTTATGAGAATTGTTAGCATGCTCTTGTAGTTAACTTCTCTAAAGCAAGGGTTGGCAGCCTTTTCAGAACGGTAGCCAAATTAGCACAGCTTACTTTGAAAGTGAGCTGCCATCAAAGGCGTAACTAGTAAGGTTTGTGCTCTCAGCTAACGATGCCCTCTTGTGTCCCGCTTTGCTCAGACTAACTGCTGCTGTCCTGGTCCTCTCTGATCTGTACAGAGGGCTGCTCTCTCACCCCCTATTGCAGTTGCCCCTTACCCTTGCTGTCAGTTGCCATCAAGGGGTGCAGTGGCAGCTGCAATGTGGGGGTGAGAGCAGGGAGGACTGCCCCCACTCCCCTGCCTCAATCCACCACATCCCAATTCACATGCACCCAGGGACTGAATGATCTTGCTTTGCAGGTCAAGTATGGCTCACGAGCTGTAGGTTGCTGACCTCTGCTTCATACACTTCCAGAGTCAGAAATTTTGCAGGTGTCCTTCCTGCCCCCCACCCCACCTCCACTTTTGGGGTACCAGCTTACCTGCAATCCTAACTACTTAACAAAACCTTTTACCATTGGAAGCCCTATGAGAGAGAGCTAGTTTCAAGTCAGCAATCTTCTCCCTGTTAAACTGTAACGCAGGGATAACTCAGTTGAACTCTTCAGCCAATAAAAGGGTAACTTTGTTACTCTTCATGTTTGTTTTTTTGAAAGGTGCTGATTGTGTGCTTTGCTCTCTGAGAGGAGAGAGGATGCGCTCACAGAATTAAGTCTAAAGGAGTATACTAATCAGTAACTAAAATGAAAAAAACGACTGGAGACCGATTGTAATTGCCCTGTGTTTGAAATGCATGACTTACTGTATATCCTTTGTTGAGCCACTTACCCTTTGTTTCCCTGTCTGGAATAATGCTTGTTCTCTTTACAGGACCTTGAATGTGAGTGTTAATTTTCTAGTGTTTCTAAAATGCTTGGAAACTCAAACTGTTTATCACATTTGCTCAAATATAAGAGGTTCCCTCCCCCCACCTTTTAACATGACCGGAGGGGTGGGGAAGCCCTTTGCCTTACAATTGAGCATGAGGCAGTGAGGGGCAGATGGCTGGAACCAGAGCCCCAGCTGCAGCTACCACCTGCCCTCTTCCCCCCCTGCTGCCTCTGTATGCCCTGCCACTCCTCCCCTACAACCCCCAGTCTCCCCACTGTGCAGCTTCTCCCTCTGCCACACTCCTCCTTACCTTTCCTCCATGTCAGCAGGCTGTGTCCTCACTGCAGCCTGGAGCTCAGAGCATGTGCTCCAGCCAAGTCCCGTAACAGCAATGCCAGCTCCACACCACTGCTGCAAGGAAGGCTGGACCATGCTCCATGCCCCAGGCTACAGCAGGGATGGAGCTTGCTGACGTGGAGCAAAGGTGCAAAGGGGCAGTTGGAGGAGGGAGACTTTTGGGGTATGGGGGAGATGAGAGGAATCAGGGCTGGGGACCTGAGGCTTCAGGGAGCAGAAATGGTGTGGAAGGGGGAGAAGGAGGCATCAGAGCAGCCTCAGGTACAATGTGGGGGGAGGGCAGGAAGCAGGGAGTAAGCTGCCTGCCTCTCTCACTGCCTGTCCCCTACCACCTGACCCCCCCATTGCCTGCCCTATTACTGTCCCTCTTATCACCTTTCCCCACCACCACCGGCAGTAGCGGGGGGGACAGGACAAATTTAAGATGATCCAAAAATTAAATTCCATACATCAAAAACTATAACAAATTATATAATGTGTGTAGAATCTAATTATTGGGGGGTGCACCTTGTATTCAGGCAAATATGGCAGTTTAATGGCAAATGTGTTGTAATTCATGCTGAAAACTTGAATATTTGTTTTCTGACCTGATCCTAATTCAATTGCAAACTATTTTCTAAAATAGTTACTAAAGATATGCCAACTTAAAAGATGTTGATAAAATATGTAGATCTATTTTATTGAATTAGTCAAAATTGTTGCAGAAGCTCTACTGGCTGGGGGTGTCATCACGTATTGGTTCAGCACCCATTTTCAAAATGTGTGCCATTTAGTAAGCAAAAGCACTATTTTGTAATTCCTCTAGTTCAAGGATAATTGGCTTGATTTGGCTACTGTTTTTTTCACTGCAGTCATTGCTGTGTAACTGGTTTAAAGAGAGAGACAAGCAGTGCCTACATCATATATCTTTAGGTTATAAACCATTTTTAAACTCTTAGGTGTCTAGTGATTTTTAGATTTTAGAACTATAATTTAGAATTATTGACAAAATAATGGTAGTAAGATGCTGAAGACTTAACTGCTTTTTAGACCTTTGGCTAAGAGGTATTATAAAGTCAAATTATTTGTGATAGAAAAGTTAAAATGGATGAGAGAATGTAACTGGTTTTTATTTTTCAAAAGAAAAAGCAACTATTCCCAGTTCAGAAACTTGTGGCCTTCTTTTAAGAAAGTGTTTTTTGTGTGTATACTACATATTATAGTCTTTGCTTATTCATACTTTTAAATATGACTTAGTTTTCCTTTTTAAAAAGACTTTACATACCTAGTTTCAGTATAGAGCATATCTTTAATGCAGAATTAAATAGCAGTTCATAATAAGAAACAGTTACATAGCTGAAAACTCCAGCAACAGAAACATGACTTACATGTGCCCTTTTGGTGCACCTCTATAGAAAGAAGATAACTGATAGTAGAAAGCTCTTTAATCTCTCAAAGGCATTTGCTGTGAGATTTTTATGCAAGTGATACTGTTCCTGGTGCTGTCTCTTAATTGTTGTTTGTTTGATTTGTTTAAAGGTGGCCTGGACAATGTGGAATATTATGATATTAAGATGAATGAATGGAAGATGGTGTCGCCAATGCCATGGAAGGGTGTAACAGTGAAATGTGCTGCTGTGGGTTCTATAGTATACGTCTTGGCTGGCTTCCAGGGCGTGGGTCGATTAGGGCACATCCTTGAGTATAACACCGAAACAGACAAATGGGTAGCCAACTCCAAAGTCCGTGCTTTCCCAGTGACAAGTTGTTTGATCTGTGTTGTTGACACTTGTGGAGCAAATGAAGAGACTTTAGAGACCTGAAGACCTTCATGAGATTTTGGGATATTCTTCATTTGGAAAAGATGGCCATCGGTGCTTTGCTTCTGCATTTTATTACATCTTGTTAAACTGAATAATCTGAAAAAAAAAAATGGTACAGTCCTTGAATTTGTATATACCATATGTATCAAATGTGGATTTACTCATGCCGGTTTTACAGTTTGTTTGAAAACTTGGGATGTATTTCAAGAATCCACTAAACTAGCTGAGAGCAAATAATATGCTCTCTTGAAGAGACATGTGTGGCCTTGTCAGAAATAAATCCAATTTACGTTTTAAAAAATTAGAGTATTGGAGGAAGATGAAACTTTAGCTAAACTATACATCTCAGCTTGGATACAGAGGTCCTTCAGGTCACAAAGGTGAGTGACTATAGCTTGGATTCTGAGTGTATATGAGTCTGTTCATACAGTTTCATTTCTTATGCATATTGCACAACAGCCATGCTAGAGTATGATAAAGTCTGTTCAGAAAAAAAAGAGAGAGACATGGAAGAGGATAAGGTATTATGGATTAGGATTGACATACCCAGTGGGACTAGCATTCGGAGCACCTGTGTACAATGGCTGGCTCTTTCCAATGAGATTTTATTTATATATATAGATATAGATATATATCTATATCTGTCTCTATTATCTTTTACTTTCAATGTGTATTAACTTAAAAGTCAGATAGGCCAACATGGGTTTTAAAAACACTTGTTAATGACCAAATGCTTGGTTTAGCATTTTGAGGGTTTATACAGAAAGATTCCTGGCATATCACAGAACTAAGAATCTTTATTTTTATTGATTAATTATATTCACTACATTAGTAATATTGCACTGTACTAACAGGTTGGAAATAAGGGATTGGTTCCCAATCTGTCTTCCCAGGCAAGTGAATTATATGCATTATGGAGGCCAGACTTAGTAAGAACTCAAGTGGGGGAAGGTAAATTTGCTGTATTGACTTTCTTCCAGTTCAGATTGCATTTTTAAAATGGTGTAAACATGAATTCCTCTAATTTTGTTGAAGAGGTGTAGATGGTATAATTCAGGCTTGACAGTTAACTTTTTTTTTTTTTGT